GCGTTAAGAGCACTTGTTGCCACCCCGTTATCGTTACTCTTGCTCGTTGCTTTCCCTTCCGTCTTCCTGAAATCCAGCCTTTGCGATCTTCCTGTTCGATCATTACAGCCGTGCAATGGGGGAGAAAATCCCGATTTGATTCCAGTCGCGTCGCGTGTTTGATTAAAATATTGGGCTGGCAATTAAGTGATTGCGTCATTAATAACAAAATCTGCAGTATCTGGATACTTCCTTATTTCTTATAAATTGCGATTACATAATCCTAAGTGGAAATGAAATTAGACGGACTGGTGGACCTGCAGTGAAATTGGCATCTGCAAGAGCCTTGTCACGTCTTTGTTAATTTTAAGTAAGTTTTTCAGCTCAACTTTCATCGTTTTACGTATAATCTTGTAATTTTGTTGCACATCAGCTAAGAGATAACTAGACGAATCCAAGCAGCTAAGAAGCAAGTATTTCTTTTATGCAATGGAACGATATAGCAATGATAAATGATATTGGTCATTCGAGATAACCGAATGCAAAATAAACGCTGATTCATCGTCGCGGACGTTTTCGAAAATACGAGTTAGCCGGAGGAAGCAATATTTCGGCGTACTTAAGGTAGCTCTCGGAGAAGTTCTCGAGCAAATAATCGAAAGAGAGTAACAACACTTGCCCTAGCCATCTGCAGAGGTATATAACCCTAAATCTAAGTGCCCAAGTGTTTCTCAAACGTTGGTATATTGCGTATCACGGTTATAACCTCTGTCAAGGAACAGGCACGAAGAAAAACGACGTGCAATATTAAATTTGGATTGCTCGGCTAACTAAAGCTTCCTAAACCTGTGAAAAGAATAGTCTGCGAAAGGGAATATCTTTCATTTAGAATTTTCACGGTGGAAAGAAAATATCTCGTTTGCAACTTTCACTATGAAAATAATTTTACTCTCATTTCGAAATATAAGACGTACGTGTACATATGTATGTCCGAAGTAAAATATGTTATATAGATAATTCATGAAATTTTCACAAAGTTCGTGTTATTAAATATTTCGATAACGATATTTCGAACTTTCTTGAGGCATGTAATATATGTAGATACATAATCTGTGTAAAATAGCGTGTATAAAATATTTTAGTTACAGGGAGCAAGTAAATTAGAAACTGTGTTACACGCACAGAAATTCAGAAATAAAAGAATTTATGAATCTACGCATAGACGTAATAGTTTTGCATTCTACTGTATCGACGCGTACATCGTTAATTTCGTTTCTTGTTCTATAAATCGACTACGATGAAACGACTCTATCGAGACAAAACGCATCGAACAATACGCTAATTGAGCTCTCTGTAATTTTTCATTCGACATTTATGAATTCGCCCGCGTAACAGAAAAAAATATTTTGCCGGCATTCGATTGATTTTATTTCGAAAATATGGTTACTGTCCTCGCCGAGTTGTGAAAAAGTTTTTCGGCAAAAATCCATTTCATCAATTTCATAGACAGCCGTAATTGAATGTTTGTTTTTCAAATAAATTGATAAAATAAAGTGAAATTGTACGCGATAAAGACACTAGGTTTGTATACGTAGAATTGGCAGCTCCAAATAACATGATTTGTTTTCGACCCATTGTTGCTCTCTGTCGTATGAAAAATTTAGTTTTCAAGCATTTTTTTGTTGAAAATTTCGATGCTGGACATGTAACGTTTCTAGATCTCGTTTAGATTATCTTGCTACCTGCTTAATGCAAGATCTAGACCATTTAGATATTGAATCTCTGGATCTAGAATTAATTGCCCGAGGGAGGCAATATCTAGATCTTCCACATCTACATAGGTCAACGCCACGTATCAAACGCTGACTCCATGTATCTAGGCCTTTATAGAAATATTTACATTCGCTAACTATAACGTAAGAATAATAACATAATGATATGGCATAACGGTAATTAGATACTTGTATGACGTAACGATGATATAATTTATAGGTATTGTAATATAGTAATAATTGTGATGAACAATGAGACGTGTTGGTTAACACTAGAACTACCACATCAGTCAAATTGACTGGCCTTATAATTTTATTTTAAAATTCCTACTTCTTGTTATATTTTCTTCCACAATGATGTTACGACTTTCGCAACGATAACTAAAAGAATGATATAATGAATTTTATTTCGTTTTTTATGTATTCAAACAGAAAATAATTTTGTATCAAGGCTATTTGTACCAATAGCAGTCAAAATGGCTGGTACTTGTCAAAGCGTAAAAGGGTGCTGCGATCCGTTTATCGAACCCCGATTAACCAGTTTCCTCGTTTTCTACAACTTGCCACGCGTTTTTCAAATTTTTATCAGATATCAGATATCGGGAAAATTCCGGATCGATCGCTAGATCGCTACATGTTAACGCCAGAAATACCACTCCAGTGAAAATGACTGGTTCTACAATTTTATAAATGTGTCAACCCTCGTTTAGATCGACCATGGACCCAGATGGATTAATAATACCAAAATTGTACTACGTAACATGGAATGCCTTTTGTAAGAAAGTAATAAATCGATAAATATAAAAATATTCTATTATTACGTATTTTGTAAAGTCCGGTTATTTTTACTGATTTTGGTAGGAATAACTTCCTGTTAACTATCGGTAGTTCTAATGTTAAATTAATAACGAGACCAGTTGATTTCGTCAAATATATTTACAGATATTTTTCAAATGTAAAATACAGAGTTAATCATAAGCGTTGCTCGCTCGATGCTATTCGTTACAAGGATACTCGATACTGAAACTAATTGTTATGCTGATTCGCTAGACTTGTTATACTTATTCCCTCGACTGATGATCTCGACGACTGATGTCTGGACAACATGGTCGTCTATTTGTACTCTTCGAGGGAGAGGGGGTTCCCGGAAGGTTTAAACTTGTCTCCGGTTGTCTCTTGCACGTAGCAGCGACATTGCTTTGTCCAGAATTTGTTTATTACATTTTGTGCGTCGTAACTGTGTTAATCCCCTGTGACAAAACAACGACATGACGCAAAACAACGCCCTATGACGCATGTGCCGCTACATAATAATAATAATAATAATAATAATAATAATAATAATAATAATAATAATAATAATAATAATAATAATAATTTTTGAAGTGGTCACCACTTCTAAGAAAACTCTACATCTGGTCTTTTTAGTTTTCTCAAGCACCGAAGCTATCGACAGCGTATAGACGAAAGACTGAGGCGAAGGCAGACCATAAACAGTAGACAGGCGACGTTGGCTTCGGGGTTTTCAGTTATAGGGTAACACTGCTAGCGTGCGGATCTGGACCAGCTCGAGTTGTATTCCTACTTGTACTTACACTTCTGTATGAAAATATATTTTCTACCTTACAATTTATCCACGCGTTTCTCTGTTCATACATCTGATAATCTCAACGATAATAATCATTTCTCGAATTTATGATAATATGGAAATTCTACATAGTCGACAATTTTTCTATGCCACTCTCTATAGGAGCGTTCGAATGCTAATCGAGGAAAAGAATTTGGAAGAAATTTTTTGTAAAAATCTTCATTATTTATCGCTAAGAATAAAATTGATTCGCCCTGCGGATAGATCGTTTTTCCATACTGTGATTGAACATTGTCGCCGCTTAGGAGAACGCGCGATAGCAGAACATTCCTCGAGTGTTTTCTCGTCGCTGTTTCAAATATACTCGTAAATTCGTTTACGTCATTACCAGTCGGTGCGTCCCGTAAATCGAACGAAAGTGTTTCCTGTTGGATAGGCTACGGTATTTTAAGGGCGCGTAATATGGTCCGCGACTGTTCCATTCCACATCTTCGGCGAGGGTAACGGAACTCTGGAAGAACGGTCGATCTGTCACGAGCAGACGCTTCACCAAGGGTGCAACTTGATTTACACTCTCTTCTTGCCCTTCTCTCTTTTCTCTGCGCGCCAAAGAAAAACCAACGATTTTTCCAACGAACAAGAGGACTACTTGGAGATTTTAAGGAAAGACAGAACGTGGTAAATTCAGCTCTTCGAAAACTCTCGATAACTCTGACCATGATTATATTGGCTTCATTGTGTAACAAAATTGCGGAAACATTTCTGGTTGGTATCGTTCCGTTGGGTTTCTTCCAGTGGGTTTGGGGCTGTTGAATTTCCTTGTGTTACAGCTATATCGATCAACTTTATTGACGTATCGTATGTACCCATCAGCTTTGGAATAATATATAACAATACATTCATTTTGTAACACGTATTTTGTAGTACAGTTTTTCCCATGGCCTTGATTATAAAATTACGAACGAAAAACCTGAAAATGATTTTATTCTCTTAGTAAATATTATTACAGCTACGTATTATCGTTGCGAGATTGATTTTCCGCATGAATCGTGTTTCAATGAAGTTTTTCACTTGGTTCTGATTAATTACTCTGCAAATACCATAATAAATACAACAATGCGCATGTACTTTTTCCAATTACTATAAATAAAATGATGTACGATCTGCCAGGAATATTTGTCCATTAAAATACGAATATCGCGACCAATGAACAACTAACCTTCTTCCCATTATCATCTCTTTTTCCATCATAAGCACAGGATATCAACGACGAAATCTAGTCAAAGTTCTCAGGCTTCAAAGCCACGAGCGGAGATTGAATGTATTCCACGACGATTCTCTGGAACGGGTCAACGACCCAGGAGTAGAATAACAATCCATCCAGCCGCCATTCTTCACAGGTTTTATCCGCCCTCGAGCCCCGCCGTCTTTCCGTTTCTTCCTCGACCTTTCCGTTTCCTCTTCGCTCGTCCTTACCTTCTTATTCTCCGCTCAAAGCAAACTCCTTTACCTCTGGTCATTTTCCGTGTTTGCCTGAAAAGCCAGCAAAGAGCAACCAAGCTGCAAGAAGCCATTCGCGTCTGCTTTTCGTTAAACGATGAAACCACATCGACTTTGTGGTTTTCGTTGCTATGTGAGATCGTTTCTGCTTTCTGTTTCAGCGTGAAGACTGACATGGGCGCCAGCGGCGCGATATCCAGGCTCTACATTGCCAACGCGAATAAAAAAGACAGCGGGAATTACAGTTGCGCTTTGGCGGATGTCGCGGCAGCTACCACGGTCTCCGTCCACGTGTTAAACGGTACGTTTGTTTCTGGCCAACATTCGATTACTTTCGAACCATTGTATTCGCTGTTGCGTACCACTTTCTATCATCTTCTTTTTTTTAGTCTTAATACAAATTCTCTTGATCCTTTCTCAAATTGGTTAACTCCAGCTTTTCATACTTTAGCGTCGAAGCTCTTGATTCACCCCGACGTTATGCATAATAATTTCATTAATTTTCTCTACTTCCTGTTTTCCGAACATTGTGAAATGTATACATTGTCTTATTAAAAAATGTGATCAAATAATTTACACTTATTTATGAAATTACAATATACAGGGTGGTTGGTAACTGGTGGTACAAGCGGAAAGGAGGTGATTCTATGCGAAAAAAGTAGTCGAAAATATAGAATACAAATTTTTCGTTCGAGGCTTTGTTTCCGAGAAAATCGGCTTTGAATTTTCGCTCGGTACGCGTGCGGTACGTTATAACGGATCTCACTGTAGATCGTTGTCTCGATGGAAAAATTGAAAAACAAATTTTTATTCTATATTTTCGACTTCTTTTTTCGCGTAGAATCACCCTCTTTCCGCTTGTATCACCAGTTACCAACTACCCTGTATATTCGTGAAATGTTTCTATAGATGTTTAAGCATTTTCGCAAGCGTGTGTGCGTCATGCATGAACTGTCGAAAATGTAAATACGTGTTTGTATAGTCAATATTTCAGTAGCAGATGTGTATAAGAATGGCAGCCATTATGATAATTTGGTTCGTTGAAAGTGAAAGTTTGTAAACTGTTGGGAAAATTTGTAGATATCCTTCGAACACCCGAATATGTTAATATTATTGAAATTCGAATATTTCCTGCGCAGAAGGATAATTTAAAATTTGTAAAATATACCTGTGAATACTTAGATACTTAGTTATTTCTCGCGGAATGCAATTTCATTATTTTATAATTCCTTCATTGTTTTGGTCATGTACCGTAAATTTCATTATTTTTATAGACGAATATCTAATAATTAAATCGATAGCTATAAGTGTCAAAAATTTATAAAATCACTCGATCGTTCAAAAAATTGTCGATCTTCGAATTATTTAATTGCTGAATTAAGTAAAAGATAAGAACGACTAACGATATTTCGATCGCTTTCTAATTGTACATTGTACAAGCTTATTACCATTAAATAACATTGATATACTTCATTTTATACGATTACACAGGTACAGAATTCAGAAACATTAAGGCAGTTTTTCACAATCAATCATAATGTCGACAGAAATGAAGATTTAACCATGATGTATTAGTGAAATGTCGCTATTCCGAATGACAGTAGCGAAGCAAAGTGATTAACGACACAATCAACCAGTGCATGACACGAAGTCATTATAAAGTGATTAAAATTCCAAAGTTTAATCGTAAAATATAAATATGGGAAGGATACATTCGTTTTAACGACGATTGCACGATTACGATCGCTAATAAACGTCAATATACTGTTCTATTTTATAATTAAGCTTCTAATTTCATCATTACAATGGATTAAATAATTTCATTTCTATTTTGAAATAATCTTTTCAAATTCAATATAACTATTTTATTCGTATATCTATGTTTTTACATTTTTTAAGATTTCTACTTTTGAAGAACATTTACAAAAGCAAATTGTCTTGCACATAGTTTAACATCGGCGATGAAAGTGTCAAAAATTCCAATCATACGATACAAGAGAATAATGAGAACTTTTAAATTCGAATAATTATAATAATTTTTACAATAGGAGGAATTAAATTTTGTATCTAAAAAAAAAAGAAAAAAAAGATTTGTGGAGCTGTTATTGTCGACGTTTCAACGTCAAACTATTTGCCTTCGTTCGCGAAATTTCAAAAACGAATATTAGGACGGAGTGTTGGAAATGAACTGGCGGTTGTTTGAAATAAACTGGCCTTGTGCATTAGACGCGTCGAACGGTTCTGTGTGTCTTTTGCGGACAACTTTGAATACACGTCAAAGTGAATTACGCGGCATAGCCGAAAATTATGCGCAACGACCACGCATATTCCGCGTTTAATATTATGTCGCATAAGTAAACAGAACAAAAACACGCGAACCAGAAATTATGCGGTATTTCCACGTGGATTTGTAAATTCGTTTACAGCCGTGTGAATTTATACAAAACAGAATTACACATAATTCTTTTACTTGTTCGTTCTTTGTGGAAAATTTAGAAAAGCTGAGGAGCACGGATCGTGGTGTGTAAATTTTAAACGAAAATGACACAGATTTTGAAATTAAATTGAAATGAAATATTTGGAATTAGAATCTTGATATCGATTTTTGATAGCAGATATCCAGCAGATAGATGATTTTTATCTTGCACAAGTTGTCAGAGGATGCTGTTATAATTAAAAGCGTTCCATTTGTCTGAAGCAGAAAAATTTTATTACTTCATTTATTATTTCATTTTATTTATTAATTCATAAATGTGGTTCTTTTCGCACAAAAGAACAGATCAAATCAACGCAACAAAGACTCGAATGATAAAACTTTAGATATTAATTAACAAATTATTCGACTTTCCAAAGCATACAAGCTATTTAATAAGCATGTAGTATCATACTTCTACAATCGCTGTAAATGTTTCAATTGGAAAATGGTTTAATTGGTTGGAACGTAGTAATTGAAGGTTTTCAGGCAGATACTTGTTTACCGCAACTCGATTTGCGGAGATTACAACGGTCAGCCTTGGAAAAGACGGAGAGCTTAATCTAACGCGAGACAAGCCACTGTTCGATAACAATGTTTCGTTTCGCTATTGTTGCTTACGAATTCTTTGTGCTTTTCGACCGTACATTGAAACAGCCTTTTTATATAATTAAATTCTCATAGTTCGCAGAACAGACATTTTGAAATCGTTGACAACGTTCTGTTTAAAGTTCTGAATTCCGTTTTTCGAACGAATAATGCTGCCTTTGAATTTTAATCGCAGAAAGACAAGAAATCACTGAAAATTGTTTACACATATTAATTATAAAAATGTGACGAAGTTGATAATCAACATATTCACACCATATTTACAGCAATGTGGAAAATTGTTTTCATATATATGTCGGATTAACGTTAGGTTTAGGGGCGTGTAACGAATCCTCGTTCGGACTAGCCATCGTTGTTGTACAATAGAGATTATATTTACTGGTATAAATATTGATTTTTACAAAGTTTGACAAATAACCGTGGTGAATGGACATTCGAGATATTAAAGACAATGTTCTTAGGTTCAATAACGAATCCACGGTCAACGGGGTAACTCTTTGTTAAACGTAGAATATATTTCGAAGCACAAAGTAACGTTTGCTTTGACGCTCGGTATAATACTGCGCGTAAAGACGATGCGAAAACTCTGCAAGGTGATCGCAAGAATAAAAGACTGATGGAAATTTTCCTCTCCTTACGATCGCGTTCGTTCCTTGCATATTGGCCGGGGATACCAACAAAATTCCAGCCGCCGTTGCTGGGCAGACCCGCGTAGAGCTGACATTGCTCCTGCCTGGGGTTCGATTGTTAATACAACGTGTGTCCCACGATATTGGCACTTCTCTGTTAGGTAAAACGTTCATCCCGTGACCGTGGCTACGTTCGACGACCAGTCGTGTCACCTCGAGCCCAAGCCCACTGTCACGAATCTCGGGCAAACATAATCGAATTGAATCATAACAACTACCTCTAAGTTTTATTATTTAAGTGCAGCTATAATAAATACTCTGGACTAAAGTATCATGAATCTTCCCAAAAATTGCAAAAGAAAGGCCCCGATGTCCTTTCATCTCCGACATACATATATAACAAAAATGTGAGAAAGTTGCTAATCGAGATACCTAGGTTGCGTTACTGTATTTATAAAAGAGATACGGGTTAAGGGTGTACATTATTTTAACGACACACTGGGTGTACCATTCATTACATTGTATATTGCGTTACATTTTCCTCTTGTTCAGCGTTTCCTCTGGACTGCGTCCAATTTTCTAGAGGGACCATCTGTCCTTTTTCCTCTCCCATCTTCTTTTTCCTCTTACTCATATTAAACTTCAGTATCCTGGAAACTGTACGTGGAGGGTAGGCGTGTCTCCACCTGCAACGGGGACTTTGGTTTTAAGAAACTTTGTAATTTCGTAACTGACGGCGTATTTATGGCGTTACTAATCAAAGCTCTTACTTAAGAGTTTTGAGTTAATGGCTCGTGGATCATAAAAATTTTAAAATGATGTTTCAACCTAAAGTTTTTATTTTGCGATCGTGAGCAAATTCTATAATTCTTCTTTATGAATCCTTGTACTTGCTTCCAATATTTTCATCGATTTCGTACGACACTTTTGTCCGGAACGATCTTCGATTCAAGCAACACACGTCCGAAGCCAATCATTTATCGCAAATATTACGCATAATTGCGAAGAAGCTATGAAACGATATTTCAAACATTTCAGCAATATCGAAGAAAATGATACGGGAAAGCACATACGTCGACAACGAAGTATCGTACGAAAGAAATTATATCCCGTATTCTCGATTTATTTCTTCACCTAGGAATCGTGTCCTTGTCAATTGCACTATGATTACTGCGACATCCCGTGGTGGCGACGCATCCATCGAAGATAGTAAATGGAAGGTTAGAAGCGCAACTATAATATACAGCACGTTTGTTTAGCAGTTTATCGAGCAGGTGATCTATCGGGTGTGTGTCTCGGTTAGAGCGAACGCCGGGGCCTCTGTTTCTCACTGATAACGGTGTTTGGGAGGCTCGAAGGGGAACGAAAGATTATAGCCACCTCTCGCGCGCTACCGATAGAATTTTCCAAGCTTGTGCACGGTCGATAATTCATTCTCTATGGCTTCTCAACGACGTCGCTGTCTATTATTCTTCTTTCCTTTTCCTTTTCGTTCCATTCTCTCTTACCCCACGTCGTTTTCGTGCCGTTTATGAAATCCAAGCCCGTGGAATACGGATGAGTAATCGAAGAAGTTGAGAAACACGACACGGGGGCTCATGAAGAGTCTGCCAATGACGGCTCGCTCGATTGCTGTTCGCGGATACCCGTTTCATCTCGATTTTCATTTCCCTCGAGACATTTACATAACCGACCATGTCATCCAACGGGGAACTGCCGCTGCAAGAAAATAGTCTACCGTCTGCTGTTAAGCACGCCGGACCGGAAAGCCACTCGCCGATGCAACCGAACAACTTCCGATCGAGCTCTGTCGCGCAATTTCCGTTCCACTCCTTGTTCATCGTTTATACCGCCGACTTGGACTTTTCAAGAAGTCCCCGCTTCTTCTTGCGAAGCTGCTTCGGCGAGTAATTGTTTTGCGAAACGGAGTTTCACGATCGAGGAATAGGACGAAGATCGCCATGTGTATCCTCGCGAGAATATCTCTATGCTGCTTCGAGATACGATCGTCGAGGATTTCGTGGAAATTTTTAATTTACAAGGAAAGTAACAATGAAAAAAGTGGTAGAAACAGTGGGAAAGATTAGGTATTTCTTTCTAGATTTCGTAAACATTCGCGTTTATGAACTGTGAATAAAATATTAACCTTTTTATCACCATTTATGCTGAAGTAATTACTTGCAGAAAAACTCTACATCTTTATTTATGTATATTCGTGACCTGGAGACCGCTGTTACGAAGAGAATAGAATTTAGTGAAACAAAAATATTCTAAATAAGGAGAGGTCCGTATTATTGTGCCCTTGAATATAAATTACGTTTTGGGTTACAAGGTCTAGGAACAAAAGAACTAATAAATAGATTTCTGTTTATGTTCTTTGTGGCCTTTAGCTGTAAGGTTAACATTTTTGCTAATGTTCTTTTGCTATAAATATATGAACGTGCACCCTATTTTTCCATTGTATTATGACACTAAGAAAGTAGGGATTTGGATCAGCATAAAGTTATACATTATATTTATACCTTTATTTATTTCAATATATTTTTCTATTACAAATTCATCCATCCGTTCTTCTATCAGTCAACCTTAACGATATAAATTGAACTCACTTTGTAATTAGCTGATAAAAGTTGCAGCAGAGTATACATGCGTATAAAGATATTTCTTAAACTGCAAGCAATACCTCAACTCGTTGCACTATGAGAATTTTCTTGATTCGATGGACCAGCAACTTCGATATTGTTTCTATATCTATGATCGTCGTGTGTTAAAATTATCATGATTCTTTGCTTCTTCTTTTGTAATTACTTCAACGCGAGTAGAATGTGTATATTATGTTATGACACACATATTGTACGTTATGAAAAACATGCACGCAAAAATATTTTACAAAAACATCTACAATTTCACAGATAATAACGCAACGTCGAATACAATGTCGTTGGCGAATTTGACAGTTCCTTGGCCTGAGCAACATGTAACTGAAAAGCAAGATGTAGATATACTTTCATCAGAGTCCCAAGAGGAAATAGTGATAACTCAAGGAAATGTAGTTGAACCACCTTCAAATGGTTGTTCTCAGACACACAAAATAGAAGTACGTGATTTGAACACGTCTAAACATCCTCTCTACTTAAGCCTGCACGAATCAACGAGTCTTTTTTAGAGCATATATCCTTGCACATTCGGAATTAGTAATGGTACTTCATCTTCAGGACTTACGTTAGAAGAAGCTCTCTATTATTCTTTTCACTTTTCTTACAATTTACCGTTAATTTCTGTCGTTCGAAGATGGTATCTCACTGGGGGTAGCCATCCACACGTTACTTACCAATTAAGCTAGAAAAATTTACCAACTGTCCAGCTGGACAAATTGTAAAGTATAAATTAAATAATACAAAAAAAGAAAAAAAAATTCTGTCGTTAACATATATCGGTATCATCGTACGATATTATCTCATCATAAAAGAACGGAACGACGATAACAAGCAGATACTTTCTGACCACCGCTTGAGGGGAAAAATAGCACAGGACGATTCTGACGACAGATCCGAGAACTTGTGATTCGTGAAGTGCGAGGCCCCGAGCTCTTTGTATCGCTAAGTTTCAAATTTATTCTGCCGTTCGTTCGCTTCGCCCTCGTCAACCGTCCTTTCTCGTTCCTCTTCCGGTTTCCGATCCTCGAGGAAGCTACGGTGTTTCGTATGCGGCCGGCCCCTTCCTCCTCTGTCACCGGTGCTCATGCATGGCGTATTCATGGAAAAGTTCTTCGGAGATATTCAGGCCGACTCATTTCCCTCGTCGAGTCTTCTCCTTTCGACTGTGCCGCGCTTTTTCTTCGCTCCCTTCCTCTTCACCCTCTTGCTCTTCCAGTTTCGTCGCGATTTTACTCGAGATTCTCTGGATTTCCCTTTTTACCAGATCGACCTTTGAATCCTTCGCTTTACGCACGATCCGCAAAGCTTTGTATCATCGCGTATACGCGGAGCCCCCTTGTCTCTCGACTTCGATCCATTTTTCCGTAAGTTGCTTGTCTCTCCGTTTACGACGGATGATATCGATGCAGTGGAGAAAGAGTGCCTTTATCTTGTATCTCTAGCGAAGCGTTTCTACAACCTGGGTACTCGAACCGGTGATCGATGCGCTCTGTTATTTGTGCGACGCAGCATGTAAGTTGCTCCTTTTCGGCCACTTTGTCTCCTCGCGTCTTTTTTCCTTGCTCGTGAGTTATTCGCCACGCTTTGTCTTTCCAGATCGTTTCGTCGGAACACGCGTTACGTGAAACGAAACGCGTAGATACTATATACAATTTCTGAGATCAAAATTGCAACAGTAGTACTACGATGTCATCCGACTGGATCGACGCACCACGTGCGTCAGTAGATTGTAGTAGACGAACAGACACTAAGTTTCATGTTCCTCGTTAAGTAGGTATACAATATTCCACTTATAAACGGTATACGCAAATTTACGTCGGTTCTTGAGATTTAAAAGGCAACAGTCGCGTCATCAGTGCTAATTAGACAATTAAACCGTTACGACATACCCGTCAGCGAATATTTGAATTTATGTAACGTACGAGTCTTATGTACGAGACTGAATGTATCACAGAAATATATTTGACGTGAAAAAGATGCAAAATTTCGTCCCGTATTTCCTATAATATTCAACATTTTCGGGTTGAGAAATTTTCTAATCCATTATCAAAATTACCGATTCGAATAATCTGCATCTCGTAGTTAAATAAAAATAAAACACGGAATGCTCGCATCCACTCCATTTCATTTCGGAGCGCGTTGCATTTCTCGGAGCTAAAAAGCTGAGCGGCTCTGTGTATCCGAGTGACTTCCTGCCAGCATCGAACGACGTTGCCCCAGATTTCTCAACCTCTCTTCCTCCGCCGCTTTTGGAACAACGTAAGCCCCCGGTAACTTTTGTATCCGGAGGAAAATCGAGTGTAAGTCGAATCGATGAGGCTCACCGTCTCACACGATACATACGCCGCTAAACGCGGGCTTTAGATCGGAAGATAGAAGTGGCTTTTGAAGTTTCCAACGAAGAAGGGTGGAAACTGCTTCTCGCGGGGCTTTTCGCGGCTCGGACAGCCCGGAAGTATCAGAACACCAGCCGCGGAAGTATCGTGCATTATTTACCATGGATTACCATGAGTCGAGTCAGCGAGCCGACCTGATCATATTCGCGGCGAAGCTTCCGTTTTTTCAAAGAGACGAGGCGAATAACGAAGACCGGGAAAACGAGACTATTTGTTCCGCCACAGTTTTTCCGCGTCATGCGAAACACCGTGATTTAAGAGCGTCGAGTCGAAATTGGATAAAGCGGAGAGAGGGAGGTATAAAGATGTGAGATACGGATGATTGACAGACGAATTTTGTATCTCAATTATAAAATCACCCAGATATTTTCCATTCTTATTCGTATGACGCTGGTTAATAATATTAGGTTGTCGGAAAAGTGTCTTTCTTTTACAGACACGTCTTTCGCAACGGTGTATCTTTATACAGACATGAAACCTAATCTGTCGAACGTTGTGATCTTTATTCTGATAGAACAAAATGGATCATAAGTAATTCGCTAAAATAATATAAAGCGGAAAATGTTGTGCATCCATTACTTCCTTACAAAACGAAAGAAACTTTTCGGACGACCTAATACGTTTCAAATCGCTTGAAAGCTACTGTCGCTTATTTTATTGTTTCGGGTGAGGAATAAATATCGAGGTATAATTCAGCGACAGAAAATTTCTTACAGTATCGCTTTCTCGTCCAGTATCTTACCGTATCGCTTTCTCGTCGCTCTGTTTTTCGATAATCGCGGAATTCTGTGATTAATCTCGTTTCTTGGGATTGTAACCTGGTCCTGTTTTACGAAGGAACTAAAGCATAACTTATTTTTAACGATATTCCATCGCAGTTTAAAGAATTATATTGTTCCAATTTCGTATTAACGTATTCGCTAGCAGCCAACGGCGGCGAATTCGCAGTCTACTCGCGTGCACCTTGCTTTCGACAAAACGACGAATCTTGCCGAAAACGCGAGAGAGTGGTACGACGTGGAAATTCCGTGCCTCGATTTCCGGCGCGAAAATGCTCGGACGATTACGTTTGCCACGGCCAGAAGGGTCGATCGTAATTCGCATGTTCTCCAACTGTCGTTTTCACGAGAAACGCGACTTGGTCATCGTAGATGGACACACGTAGAACGCGTGGACGTTTGACGGAACGTTCGTAGACCAGTCAGTCCACGTGCGGAATTCTCGAAAGACTGTTTCAGGGCTTCGAGTCTACACTGATTTCGAATGCGACTCGCGACTGCTCGACTACTTGTCAAGCAAATTCGCATTACTTCCAGCATTATTCTGGCCATCCTTGTAGTTACCTGCATACAACACCTCAGGCAATAACTCTGCGCTATCCGCGTCTTGCATACACATAGCTCTCGCGCGTCTTCTCGGTCTAACGCATCCAACGCTTTTGGTGATCGAGCGAGAACACGACAAAACGAAGATACACCGCTTATGCAGGTATATATGTATTAGGACCGTTGTTTTACGTCGTAGATTAGCCAAAAAGAAAAAAAAAAGAAGAAAAAAGGAAGAATTAAGTTGGAAGAGTCGTTTCGTCATAGTTAGCAAAATTATTCGATAAAGTTTATTTTTGTTATTATAGGAAATAAGATATATTGCTAGTAATACTCTCTTGTAATTCAAAATTTGCTACATTCTGGCAAATCGTTTTTGCCATGTTCTCGTATCTGGGCTTCTCGAACTAACCGAGAATTAGATATCGAAGCTTTAGACTGTCGTTTCGTAACTGAATTCGTAAAGCCCTCTAAACTCCCACTTTTAATTTAGAATACACAAATATATTTAATATTCATCTCTGCATCTCCATTTAGATTGCTCCGATCTCGCTAAATCCTCCAACTATTTAGCATGCGAGTATCTCCAAATCTTCGTACACAAAAATCTCAGTAAATCTTTTAATTATTCGACGTTGAAGTACCTGCAAATCTTCGTGCAGGAAACTGCATCACGTCCGAACTAATCCACGATAAAATCTGTAACAAATTTACCGATTGAAATATCGTTTTCTCGACGAAAGCTTCCGGCCGTAAATAGCACGTCTATGAACCGCGAAACGAAATTAATTACGCGATAATACACGTCGCTCGAGTATTATCTTTACACGCTAGACAACGGTGATAATTTACAGCACATAATTATACGTTGTTTGTCGAGTATCGTGTACAGGTGCGCCCGCGAGCATCATCCTAAGGTGGAAAGAACGGTCAGGGATGGTTTTAATTTCGATGCAGCGCCATCCAGCCACTGTTTCCTTCTTCTCTTTCTTTTCTTTACAATTAATATACGTTACCCTTGGGGTACGTGGCGGTTATTAATTAAACGTGAACCACGCTGCAGATGAAACACATTAGTCGACGTTATCTGCCCGAGGGTTTCGACGAATCTCCCTTGTCCTTACCTCCCTTTCTGTTTCGCCCCTTCTCTCAACCTCGATTCTTATCTTATTCTATTGTCTCGATTGCTGGAAACCTTCCGTGAAACTATCGTGACCGGTATATACAGGGTGTCGCGAAACAGGCGTGGCTTTTAGTTAAGTCGTTTAACATTCAACGTCTCGAAATTTAATCTCCAACTTTCCACGGAATAATCAAACTCGTTGCGTATTACGAAACAGCAGCGATCTTTGATACAACAGCGAAGAAATGAGAAAAATCGTGTGCTTTATGTCCGGCAAGAAAAAATATCGAAAACGAGAATATGACTCGAATCACCCTATTTTATATAAATTTCACCTAATGAAAAATTCATTGTTAGTGTTATATAAATTTTTATCTGCGTATATTATTTATACATAGAATACATTGTACGTAATCTGTTTGACGTGGAATAGCGTAGGTTTCGTGTCCGTTCTTCGAACGCATTCTACCGACATTTTCGACGCTTCGATTACTTCAATAATACTTTTCATGCAATTGTTTCATTTTAGATTAGATGTGTATCTTGACAGAATTTCGTAGAAATACGAACACAGCGGTTGGATAGTGCGTTGGAAAGACGCGTCTGTTCAAATATACTTCTTCAAATATACGTCTGTTCAAATATACTTAAATATACTTCTCGTGAAAAAGACGTCGTTTGTTTCGGTTCGTGAATCTTGAGAAACACAAAGTGTAAGATAGAGCTAAAGATTAATCAGCTCGTCCGTTCGTCTACTAACGTAATTTCTAACGTAAACCTAAATCGTTTACGACCCCAACAATTGACTTCAAACGAGATTTTTGTACATGAATATCCCTCGTTATCTCGACGCATCCAGAATCATACTTTGTAAGTATCCTTCAGATATTTCGTGACTTTCCACGGTAGTTGTCAATGCCCTCGAGTCGTTTCGAAAACTAATTTGCCGGTGGAACATTTGAAGGGTTGAAACGGGCTAATTCGAGGGCGAGAGGGGAGAATAGGGGTGCCCCGCG